TAATAATATATGAACTTGCCTGCGTCTATATAGATATCGCATATGTTCGTATTTGTATCCCTGTCAGTAGCTTCTATAAAAAATGAACTTCCAGTATATGTACCTGCGTTAAATAGGATCACCAACTAATTATTTACAAGTAAATCGACCATTGAATGACTGAACGAACAAAATACAACGAGTAAATAGATGAGTCAAGGGAACGAGCAAATCGGTGACCTTAAAGTTACATCCTTTTACTAAAAAAGTTGTTTTATATTATTGTTTGGGTATAGAGCAGCAGTGGCTTAAGCACTTGAATTGTAATCTGCATGTCCTGGAATCCCGCCATGTACCAATGTGTTTTTCGATTGTCGACTTACAAATGTACATTTATCCGACGTTTTTACGGTAAAAGAAACCATCGCGATGTAACCAACCAAACCTCAGTGGGCCAACGTGGTTCACTAAGGCCCCTAACTTAGGGTAGGGCTCCGAGTGGGGACGTTTAGTGAGCTAATGATCGGTGAGACTTTACTATATTTTAAGAAACGTACCATGTGCATTTGTGTCGTACTGTCGACTGCATAGATATCTTGATGTTTCTTTTGTCAAATCGTTGAATTGTGCCATCGCTTCTACATATAATATTACAACGTTAATGGCTAGTCTAAATTTATATTTAATAAAGTTAAATTCCGTGTAAGCTTTTAAATAAAGAACGAAATTATTGTTAATTAAAATTAAATTATAAATACCCGTGCTAACATCCTTGTCATCATCATCTTGGTCTTCTGTATCAGCGCTTGATGACATCAGTAACTTGCTGTCTATAATTTCATTATTCATTATTTAAACGCAAGAAAATCTATGCCTACAATAAAATATTTTTAATTTATAATACAACTAGCTGTAGCCCGCGACTACGTCCAAGTTTAAAAAGGAAAATAATAAGTATCCTATGTGTTCTTCCACACTATGTTCTACATCTGTGCCAAATTTCATCAAGATCCGTTGAGCCGTTGCAAAAATAACAAACAAACATCCATCCATCTAAACTATCGCATTTATAATATTAGTAAGATTTTTTCTGCAAATAAAAATGTACTATGCATTTTTTTGTTACTATGAAAAAGTTTTACATGTTCTTATTATTTGTTGTTGAAACGTTCACACACTTGATTGCTTACAATTTAAAGTGTAAATTGGAAAAATCTGGATGTTAGTTTATTTACATTTTTGACGTAAACGTTACGTAAATAGATGTATTATTTATCGTATTACTTACAATCGCATGAACGAATATCACTGGACAGTGTATCACCCGATTTATCAGACGTATAAACTATATTTCTATTAGTGTTTTTATTTCCTGAAACAAAAACAGTACAAACAATATCCTACGACTCTACGTTATAATGTTCCGTTGATAGATATATAAGCATTTTAAAATTGTACTTTTAAATACCAAATAATGCATTTTTCAAGTAACATTCAGGATTGGTCTTATAGGAGAACGTTTCCACGTCAATTCGATGTTGAACTTGGTTTATTAAATATTTACATTTAATACGTAGAAGATATAATTTAAAGTTAATTTTAGGTTTAACCAGCGATAAACAAGTATAGATGAAAATGTATCAAAAATATGGTAACGTACATCAACGAAATTCCAAATCTTAAGAGCTATTTTGTGTCGCATTACGTCTTGGCAACGCGTCTGTATTGTATTGAGACCTTTGATTATCAAGAAATGGACTAAGCAAAGGGTGACTACTGTGGTAAATTCTGCCGCTTTTCGCGGAGGATAATACTACTTCGAAAAATTTAAACATTTTATAAACGCATACTGACTCAATTTTTACATATACAAAACGAGCTAACAAGCGAGTTTAAAACTTAACATACGTTTTTTATTCGAAAAAGTGGAATGCGAGTGACATGTCCTCCCTCTTAAAAGTCAAAGATTAAGCGTAATTCTGGCCGACGATTGTTTATGAGTATAACATGTTAATAGCGCTTTAATGGTTGGTCATTCGTATCTATAGGCTGCGTCCATTAAGGCTCCATTTACAAGGAAATACTTTATCGTGTGTATAAACCTATAATTATTAGTAAATAGCATAGGAAACTTTTCAAGAACGTCGCGTCAAGGGGTCGGTGGCTCATGGGTTAAAGCACATAACTTGTAATCTGCAGGTCCTGGGTTCGAATCCCGCCATGTACCAATGTGTTTTTCGTTTTCCGATTTACATATGTACATTTATCTGACGTTCTTACGGTGAAGGAAAGCATTGTGATGCAACCTGCACATATCTGAGAAGAAATTCAAAAATATGTCCGAAGACAACAAACCCACACTTGTCAGCGTGGTTGTCTATAGCCTAGTCACCCCTTAGGGTAAGCTCCGAGCCCCTCAGTGGGGACATTTGGTACTATTTTACGGCAAGATCTATAGGCTTCGGCTAGATCTATTGGGTGGTTGGGGGAGTTTGGGGTATTAAAAATATTACATATTTGAAAGTGACCATAATATGATTATTGCTCAAAATATTATAAACCCATACCTCTTGCTGGTGTCATCATATTATTTGACGTAATCACTCCAATGTTATGATGCGAGGTGACTTCCTCCAGACCTGAGGATATTAATATTATTTCAGTACTAAGATTTATTGCGTGAAATTGAGAACAGGCGGACCGACCAAATCAGAGCGACTGTGGATGTCCCCCTACACCAATGTACAAAAAAGGCAGCGACAAAGGGGGAGTGGCGGCGCCTGGTAAAGTTGAAAGGGTCACTGATACTTGATGACCACGACCAGTCTGACAAGACTGTACCGACGAAAAAGAAGAAGAAGAACTGGTGAACAGGATATAAACTTAATTATGTGTAAATAAATCTATTTGTAAACGATTAAATAATTCTTCAACATATTATGTCTTTTTAAATTTAGAAAAATTCTTGCTTAGTGTTTGCCTAAAAATATTTAGTTCAACTAATTTTTTATACCATTTAAATTGTATTTAAAAGTCTTTGATAATTATTTAAAATATATAACCTCCATTACTGGGACGTCTTCTAGACACTTTTGGCTTTACCATTCGTATAGTGTGTTTTGACTGAGGATATCCATACTCCCCGGACTCTGGAAAAGGTTAACTACGGATCATTATTTCACAATCTGACTAAATTATTAAGCGTTAATATGTATATGACGGTATGAACCAGCTCACTAATTTGCTGTAAACAAAAAAAAATAAACTAACCTACTCTTTCATTTTATAGCGTAGTACTAGTGTCTGGACAAACCCTCAATGTTTGTCCAGACTTTTATTGGAAATTTGTATATTATTCCTTGTTTATATAGATAAATAAAATATATACAAACATAACTTTTATCTAAGCTTTTCTAATAATAGTTCTTAAGTCTGTTTGTCCAAGGATTCATTCAGCATAATTTTACACATTTTTCCAAAGATTAAATTTTCTTTTTTCGAATTTAAACAATTTTGTAGTTTTCATACTACAACTACCTAATATTTTCATCGTTTTACTTGCCTGTCTCTACTGCATGCGGTTTGTAAAAGTCTACGTCGTAACTAAATAAAGAGCTGTCATCACAAGATATTTCCAATGAATTATTGTAATTTATATTTGCTTCTGAAATGTAATTAAAGAATAAACTTAAGTGTTGAATATTCACTAAAAAAATTGCTTTAATTTCCTTCTGAATGAATTAGTAATAACATAAATAATGCACACAGAAGACAGGTGTGAAGTGGAAGAAATTCCGCGTTTCATCTGACGAGTGTGCGTCCCGGAGACCTAATTTAATCCTCTTTCCCTTCCCACCCTTTTTATTATTAGGAAAGGATGGGAAGTGGAAGAGGACTTTCCGGATGAGAGGATGCATGGAAAGAGAAAATACTCTCTTCCTGTGCATCCTCTCCTCCGTCGATTAAAGGTAGGTAACGCATATGCAATTGCGTATGCCTATGGGCAACGGTCACTTCGCTATTTCAGCGATTTCAGGTGGCCTCTCGTTCGTTTGCCAGCTAATGATATAAAAAAATACCTGTATCTGCTTGTTCCAATTCATCAGTTTGATTGAAGGCTTCATGCGCATTTAAGTTGACAACCATTGCTATATCTGAATTAATCGATACGGATGATCGCTTCTTAGTAATCAATAATAACGATCCATCAGTTTCTGTAAATAATACATACCAATAATTTTTTACAGCAAACATAGGCTAGAGTTAAGTTTCAAGGACGCGTCATGTTCAAAAACATTACGTTACACGAGAGAGAACGAAGATATGAAACCACTGAGAGCAAAAGAGACCGACGTATATATTCAATACAAAACGATTGAATAAAACTATCCAAATTAAATGAAAATATTCAAATATTTTAAGAAATTGAAACAATAATTCTATGTTAAGTTTATTCATATTGTAAGCGATTTATTTCACAGGATGGCATTCAAAATAAATGTTGCGGTTAGAACACATTCCTGCTCCTACATATTACCACCCACACGGCAGACAGTCTTGCGTAGGAGGCGTCTTATACAAGGAATTTTCTCTTTATTCCATCCATTTTATCTAGTTATAGGCTTATTTATGCTTAGAATAATAACAGGCTTTAATAATTTATAGATACAAATTACTCATTACTACGAATATTAACAATTTGTTCATTTTATTACTATGTCAACTGTCTAGTAAGTTAGTCAAAATTTTATTTTAGTGATGACATGGAAATAGTCACATTATTAATTAGAAAGTCCAGTGTCAAAATGAATAGTGAGGGGACACAAACGTCGATATTTTAGTAAGGTTAGTGTTGGGTCAATATACTGACACATTTTCGGATTTTCTTCTTAAAAGTAGTTAAAAATGTTTTAGGTAAACACTGATAAAAGGCTGTTACCAGTTTAGTTTGAGATAGAAGTTTGATTATGGTTGAGTTTATTTAATATCATTTTATAAATTACTTGCCTATAGATCGATCAACTTGGCTTCTGTATTTCGTAGAGTTTGTCAAATCCGTGTTCTTATTATTCCCTTAAATTAACAAAACATAATAAGAAAAGTTAATTATAATTTTCCATAGTGGCAACACTGGGAAATCAAAAAGGAAAAAAAAATAAACAAAATTCTTAATTCAAAAGGACTTACTTTGTCTATTGCAATTAGAGTAGATTACTTCATTTGTATCACCTTTGTCATCTCCATCTTTAGACTTTGCCCGCTCTTTTATAAAAAAAAAAATTAGTCACATGTTATAGTTTTGTGAAAACATGATTTTTTTAATGAAAATATAAGCAGTTTTTTTTTGTAAATTTACTAATATTTCTTTAACCATTCCAACTAAGCTCTAAGCTTGTGCTAGGATATAGTCGAATGGCGGGATTCGAACCCCCGACCTCGTGGTCGGAACTCCGTACCCTTAAACATTAGGCTATTGACGCTTAACGAACGATCGAACGACGATTATAGGCAAATATTTTACCTTTCTCTTTAAGAGTTATGACTGTTGTAGCATTATTATAGTCTTCAATTGGATCAATACACGTAGAGATGTCGTTTTTATATGACTTGATTGTATTGAAAGGAGGGTAAGATGTTATCGGTTCTTCCAGTGAATTGTTTTCTGTTAGAACAAAAGATAAGATCACAATAAAATAATACAGATACTACCTTGATCTTTAGAAATTGGTACAATTTTGGAATTCTTACTCGTGTTTTTGATGTGTATGCCCGCTGAAGGTCCCACTTGAGACTGATGTTTTGGCGATTGATTTTTACAAATGGACTTGTCTGAAACAACGATTTTTTTAAATGCTACCTATTAAGCTACTGTAATCGTAACCACTTTGGAAATACGCATCGCTTGTAATCTGGTTGGTTCGAAAATAGCGATGTTAGTCCTTAAAATCGATGGATAAAATTTTATTTGGCTTACCATGGGTTTCTGAGATTAAAATATCTGTATTAAATCTATTCTCATCCCTGTCATTTTCTTTGCAAAGTAGAGATAACATATTAAGTTTAAAACAAACGTCTTTGGTCTCAAAAACACATGGTTCATAGGTTTTTCAGTCATATTAAGTTATTGGAAGTGATTAATTCCAAGTAACCTTCAATATTACCTTATATACCTAATTTGTTTAATTTGCGTTTATCGAGGGCTAAATTTGTTTATTGGGAATCTAATAAATTTCTTACTAAACCGTATTAAGATTTACGAACGGCGCCTAATTTGATTTCGGCTGATGTCTTCAGCTGTAATCAATAGCTATTCAATTACAAATTCATTGGAAACATCACAGAGTAATGCTACTAAGTTTTTTATTTTCTTACATTTAGAAACTAATTTCACTTATTTATCGTATTTTTTTTTATTCCAACATCATAATATTAAACTTAACTTACAGTCCTGGATTAAGAATGTATGTAAAACCTATAAAATCGAATTTAATCTAGCGTTATATTAATCTACACAGATTACGCTACAAAATACATATAAAAATATAATAACCTGATTCAATTTTAGTGTAGGCCTCAGAATATAACTTAGTAGGAGGTACAATGCCAGTGGATTTCTGCTCCTTAGCGATGGCGTCCGTCCCTAAAAAGTAAAAGCATGTCACAGACCACAGAAAGGAAATGGGCGCGCGATTTACGCGGCAAAGTACTTTAATTTAGGGCACGGGCACACGAAAGTCCGCGTCGTCGCGGCTTGCGATTGCCAAATAAAATTGCTCTATTGTCCAGATTTAAGAAGTTCTCGCAGCTTAAATACGTGAGTGCTGAGATTTGATTTAAATAAATATACAAAGGTTATTGTAGAAATGATTACATCGTATCCTACACTTTTTAGGTCATTGAATAGGCTTACGTATCAGTAATTTATGGGTGAATTATTTCTTTTAATCTAACTTATATTATAAATGCGAGTGTTTAGATGGATGGTTGGATGTTTGAAGGTATTTCCAGAACTGCTGTATGAATCTCTGCCTGGAAGAACACATAGGCTACTCTTTAGATTTCTTTTCAACTTTGCGTGGACTTTTATATAATACAAGCCTTATCAATTTTACAGACGGATGGATTATAGAAGATGAAAATACAAGTTATGTTATTACTTATCGGATTAGGAAAGTACGCATCAGCGATGGAATGGCGCACATTTATTTGGATTACTTCAATTTTGGTGTATTTCGTTTCGCTATTATTTTGAAGTGAAATAGAATGTTGTAAATCTGAGTGGGACATTTGACGGAGCGAAATAATGATGATATTTGAAAAGTAATTTGGCAAAAAAATATTACATATTTTAAAATTGCAAGCGATTTCTGTGCATTTTTTTTACGAAAAATATTGTAGTCTACAATTACATTAAATTTAATTGACTTTTTTGCTCTTACGAAATAAATTTATAACTATTTTTTTTATATTCAACTTTTCATCAACTAAAAATATTAAAGTATATAATTTTGTTCATAACATAAAATAAAATATTACTAATATATAGTTTGAAAAAGAAAAGTTATAGGAAAATGGTCTGTAAACTTTATCTATTATCGGTCATCTGGGTTACAGTTCACAGCCGTTAGGGCCCTTTCACACGTCATTTACCTGCTTCATGGTAGAGCAACACGGTCGTTTGGACGTCGGCATTTTCCCAGAACCCGGACCTTTGCAAATCCAGCATTGTGGCAACTGGAAAAAAAGTTTAATTTATTATATTGTAATTAATTTATCCGCCTCAATGTGGACTAATATACAATGATTTTTATAGTTTACATTAATTTTAGACCAGACTTAGTTGTGATAAAGAGAAAATAGGCACACTACCAACTTGCCTGAATTGTGACAGGAATAATAAAAAACAAATAAACATATTGCCGTAGTTTTAAATTTTACTTCTTATGAATTTTAATTTGTTTGATATTGATAACTTATTTAGAACGTAAATCGATTAAAATTAGTTGTTAAATTTGATAGATATACAGAGTGTGTTAATTCTAATATATTTACTATCCACAAACATGTAACCTAATAGTTGTCTAGTCACATCCCCAATTTAATTGCTTTAAAAATGTTACTTGACTTACAAGTTCTGCACTTTGAATGTGACTTAGGTTTGCTGGCCCATCTCTCTGCGGTGCCTTTCCACATGAGGTTCCACCGTCTTCGGCAGATCCTTCCCACGGAGAAGTGCTTTGTAAACGTTATGAACGGTCGAGGAACTGGTAAAAAACATTACAAACATAAACCAAGCCAACTATTAAATGTAACTAATCTGCTAAACTTTATTATTTTACATCCATACTAAGCGTTACATTAAAAAAATTATAAAAAATTTAGACAGACCAGTTTTTCAATGTTGACAAAATGTTTAAATGACTATAGACCTAAGATTAGTTTTTCACTGTGTAAGAGTTCTCAAAATGTTTAAATGATTCAAGAGTCAGACCATCAAGTCAAGACCTAAGATTAGTTTTTCACTGTGTAAGAGTTGTCAAAAAGTTTGATTAACTCTTGAACTAACTTCGTATCTGATTGTTTCTATGTTTATGGCACTTTTTGCAGCGTCCCCTGTATCGTACGCTTCTATCGCTGCATCGCTTTGCAACTTCCCGCCTCCAGCAGTAATGGTGCTGGTAATCATGAGAATCACATGCACCTGAAAATAGTACATAGATAATGTTACTGTTACTAATACACAAACGGCTAAAACACTCACGTATGTTCCTCCGGTGTCGGCACCGACTAGTTTGAACCGACTGTTTTAGCCGTTTATATATTAGTTTATGATAATGTCTCACGAAAATCTTTAATAATTTACTGTTTCTGTGGACGAGAAAGAAGTGACTACTAAGATGGCGATGAGGCGACGATGAAAGACGTACAAAAAGGAAAAGTAGAATACCGGCGATCATTTTTATGATGAATTATGATAATTTATGAAAATTTACGGATTCCTTACCTTTCTGTTGTTTCTTAGTTTCAGTATGAGATGCACATAATTTGCAAATATTTGGCTCCTCTGGATGAGGCTCCTCAATACAACATAAGCTATCATTACAATTGTCAAGAATCCAATTTTCACTGCGACCTTCCATTAGGCTAGAGTATGCTTGTTCGAAATTATAATTGCTTAGGAAATCATCACGAATTTCTATATCAGTTCCAGATACAGTGCTTGCAATATCGTAACCTTAAAAAATATTTTTATTTTACTAGTTTGGAATGTTTGGATGGATGGGTGTGTGGATGTTTGTTGGAAGGTATCTACAGAACAGCTCCATGAATCTTGCTCAAATTTAGCATAGATGTAGAACATATCCTGGAAGAACACATAGGCTACTAATAAAGTGTTTTTTTTATTTCCGCGCAGATGGAGTCGCAGGTAACAGGTAAATAATGAATAACGATATACGCGATACGGTTTAAAAAATCTTCAATGCTCTACCTTCAGCTTCCAGATTTGTCATCCTTTGAAGAATCTCAGAAGGACAGTCAATATAAGATGTTGTAGGCATATGTTCATTTCCGTCATAAGTTGTTCCAGACAAATCGTTGTTTTCTTTTTCTGTAAGATGATCACCTAAATAATAAATGACAAATGACAAAATGTGAATTTGCAATCCAAA